GCCCGCCTCGCCCTGGCCTCGCCCCCGCGCCGCTCTGTCTCGGCTCCCGCCGGCCTCCTGCCTCCGTCAGGCGTGGAAAGGGCCAGTGGCGCTTCCTCCTGGAAGTTGGGTCCCACCCTGGGAAGTAGCCGCCCTGGGACAGACGTCAGTCGGAGAGGGGCCTTCCCGTGCCCTCTGGGTCCGGAGCGGCACGTTTCAGGCGCTCAATAAGCAGCTCTTCGGAGTGAGAAGCACGTCTGTCGGCTTTATTTACAGGGTTCGGGCTGCTGGCCATCCCCACGGGCGCAGCCAGGGGCGCCACCCTACAGCAGACGCCTGGTGGGAATCCCAGCTGCTCCGTTATGGCGGTGCCACCTGGCGCAGTGCGCTCCCTCCGGGCTTGCTCAGCGCCCTCTTAGCGGCGCCTGAGGCTGAAGGAGTTAGGCCCCTCCACATGCTCAGCACAGGGCTGGGTGGTCGCTGCATTTAAGGACGGGCAGCCCCGTCTCTGGAGGTGATGTTTGAGACCCGGAGGTGGGTCAGAGACTCCCGGGCAGTATGTGAGCATGGCAGGCAGATGCTCCTGGCGGTACCCCCGAGTGTGGCCGTGACTTGTGTAGCTGGGCCTACCCTTGGGGAAGCCTGGGCCAGGCCCAGAGCGCACTGTTACAGGACTGGGTGGTGCACCTGGGGTGTGGCCAGTCACCACATGCCCCGCTGCTCACACCAGGCTCCCCTCCAGCCCGGGTAGCAGTGACATTTGAACTCCACCGCCATCCGTTCCCGATCCTCAGGGGAGAGGGCACCTCGTAGGGTCAGGGGCCCACCGCCAGGTGGGAGTTCAATGGCGAAACTGGTGGGGTTGAGGAAGAGGAGGGCCTCGGGGTGGCTGGGGCTCCGGGCACAGCGGCCATGGCCGGAGCACAGGGCCTCACTGCACAGACGGGCCGCACTGGTCACGTTCAGGACGAAGGGCCCCAGCGTGGTGTCCACGTACTCCTTGATGGCCTGGCATGATTCCTGGGCGGGAGGAGGCGTGTCAGGGACACCGGGCCACGCTGGGCCCACCTAGGGCACCGAGGCCCTCACTGGCCAGCCAGCAGGACTGCAGGGGTAGAAAGGATGGGCCCGGGTCTCCCCAGCCGACCTCGGCCCCCCGCCCCACGCCTGAGCTCACCTTGGTTTTCGTGTTCTCCCAGCTCACCCAGAGCACCACTCCCGCTGCTCCCTGGGCCGCGCTCTCCCCCAGGCTGTGCTCCAGCTCGTCCTGGGGAAAAGGACAGGGTGGCTCTGTGGTCCTCCCCCCTCCCTCCCCAGGCAGCGCTGGAACACCCCTGGATGAGCCCAACAGTTCACGTTCCCCGCCTGGGGCAGCCCTGGCCCTGGGGCCGGAGGCCAGCCTGTCCCGCTCTCGCCTGTGTGCCAAGCAGGCGGGGACTGCGTCCTGGCACAGACCTTGGCACACAACAGGTGTTCAAAGGATGTGAGAAGGAAGGGAGGAAGGTGCCACCAGGTTGTGTGGCATCAGTTGCTGGACCTAACGCCTGAGGAGGGGCTGAAAGGTGGGCAGGGTCACAGGAGGAGACTCACCAGGGACAGAAAGCGGTCGGTCATGTCATAGAAGATCTGGACGTAGGGCAGCACCGGCAGACTGGGGTCCCCAGCACCCCCAGCCACACGGAACGCCTCACGCACTCGGTGCCGCACGTACATCTGTGCCTTCCCTGTGCCCGCCAGCGCCACGGGAAGGTAGATGCTGGGGTAGAGGGCACGGCTCTGGGCCCACAGCCAGCCCAGCTGGTCGTTCTGGGCACGGACGCCCGGCGGGCACTCGCCCGTGTAGTTGGGGTTTAGGAAGTCGTAGTTGTAGCAGCCAGGGAAGCCGTAGAAG